TGCCCTGCTCAATCGATGCCCCTGGGTCTGGGAATTGCATTTGCACCACGGAGGTGAACAGACCATGGAGCCAAGCTCCATTGCAGAGACTCCAAACAGCTGGGCAATGCTGGGGTTTAATTTCTATTAACGTGGAAGATGCTCGTGGCAGCTGGGCAAGAATTGAGGATCTTGGAAGCAATTGAAATGAATGGATCTTGGAAGTGAAGGGTGTCCATTTGAAAACATGCTCATATACCCAAAGGATGTGGGATATGCTCTGGTACTGTAATAAGTCTGGCTTAATCRGATCAGAGGCTCTGACAGTGCCAGGTGACAGAACGTAGGTGTCTCCTGACTTAAGGCAAGTCACCTAAATATACAAATAAAAGTGAGGGAAGCCAGTTTACCTAGACATCTGCATGCCYGCGTTGTGTCTGGGTGTATGTGTGCATGCATGTATTTAATCCCTCTGTAATTCTGATTTCCTATATTGTGGCTGGGGGCAACAGGAAAATAATTTCCTGCCTTTTTTTAAAAAGCAAGTATTGCATTTTTTTCTGCAACAGTCACCTACTTATGTCTGAGCAGTGAACTTGTTTTTCCATTTAGCTCAGTTATTAAACAAGGGAGCAGATGCTCAAGATGCGCAGTGACACTTTTGTCAAGTAAAGTAGAATTGTTTCGCTTTGCTAGGAACTGAGAGAGCAGCCTAGGTAGAGAGCGGGGAGCTGGAGGCCTGTCATTTTGTGGGTAGGTGCGTTTTTATCACCAGCAGAAGCACATGTAAAGTTGCAAAGACATAAATGACACAGGAAACTGAGACGGGAAGGCAGACCTGACTGTGAGGTGAGAGGCAATGAAAAGGTGTTCGGTGCCTCTCCACATGTGAAAGGCATTGCTGGTTATCTAAGGAGATTAATGTAAGTGAACTCTACTTAAAGGTAACGGCTTTGAGGTCATAGCTAAAAGCTCCTTTAGATGTGCAGTAGAAAACCTGACCAAAGGCACTGTTATGCGTATAAATTATGAAGAATATCAGGACTGAAAAGGGTAATGTTACCCATCAGGAGGCAAATGGTTTTTGTATTAAAGACTAAAGCCTGTAGATTAGATGTGAAAAGTCAACTCTGTGCAGAGGACACCTCCATATTTACCCAGTCTGTATTTGAGCAATTGTAAAGACTGATGTAWTAATGTTGTTTTCACAGGATTTAACGGCAGCCTTTCCACCCCACAACTGTGTGAGTCTGTGTAAGACAGAGGAGCCAAGAGTCTGGTGCTCAGCCCTCCTTGCCAGTGATTTCCATCTCGAGTTTGCTTATTTTACACTTTTAGAGGTTCTTGTCTTCAGCTTCCAGGTGGGGTGATTCCAGATGAAGATTAATCTTTCTCTCCCTTCAGTATAAACCATGTTCCCATGTGCAACCAAGAATATCTTGGAATGATTGCTTTAGAAACACCTGGGCAAACAGGCGCTTTGCAAATGTAAGCAGTGACTTCAGTAAATAATTCTGCTTTCTAAAGTAGTATAGCTTGAAAGAAAAAAAAAAAAAAACAAGAAAACGCAGCCAAATCCACGGCAGTCTTCTCAGAATACTGACTGGGTGAAAACAAAATCCTTAGTTTACACTAAGGTACCTTGAATTATAAACTGCAAGTAGAAGGAAACAAAGCCAAACAACCCTTAGGTTTATAGGAAGTAACTGAACAYGAATTTCTGCCTTGGCATTTGTTGAAGGAAGCATCCAATCAAGTTTATCATCTTGGACTGAGTTTCTAATGCTCTGTGGAGTATACTCCAATTTTCTCTTTTGTTTTAAGCTTCCTTTGCAGTCAGGACCATTTATGTAGCATAAATAAATAATTGAMGTGTTTATAAAAGTTGTATTTCAAAAACAGGCTTGGCAAACCTGGAGGGAAAACAGAATCAATTTTCCTTTGTCCTGACGTAGTGCGTCTCACTCGGTGAGAAGGCTGATTTTTGAAGACTGGAAGCTTAATGTATAGAAACTCGGAGGCAGAGTGATCTCTGGGGACCCAAATCTTTCTAGGCACTTGTCTCCATTGCATCGTGCTGGAAATTAGAAGCTGCTCAAAACGGGACTGTGCCTATTCAGTCATGTCAGAACTGCTGACTAGGTTGAAAACTATGGGAGAGAAATGTTTCCTGAGAACAAGTGATGCTGCTCTTTGCACTGGCTCTGTGGCAAGGTGCTGATGGCAGAAATGAAACATCCTGCTATTAGAATATTACCGTTGACATTTATAGGCAGGATATTGCTAAGTCGTTCTGTTTTATTCGTATATTCTTTTGCATCCAAATTTTGTCTTCAAGATTGTCATCATTTTTTTCCCCCTATTATGAATTGGGATTTGTTCAAGTGAATTTGTGTTGCAAGCTAGATAGAGAGATAAATGCGATAAGACTTGGTGCAATAAGATTTTAAGAGACAGCTTCAGCTAACTTTGGAAAGGGCATTCACCTGCTAAAATGATAAATATTAGCTGAAATTCTTTTTGAAGAATCATGTAGCTTGGGTGTTCAGAGGTCAGATTTGATCTGTGTATAACTGGAGCTCCTAGGAATGGTTTTAGGTACAGGTATTCCTCAAAACAAAAGGAGCACTGTGCTTTGACATCCGAAGGTATCCAAAAGTTGCTGGAGTTTCAGGATGTTTATGGCAGGGTGTAGCAGCGTGATTCAGACAGACGGGTTGTTTTTTCTCTCCCTGTCCACCTGATGTTTTGTATTATGCTTTAAAGGAAGCGTATTGGCATTACAGCATATTTAAGTGTTTAAAAAAGATGCTTAGAGGATCCTAATTTATGCAAATTGGTAAATAGCAGAAGGTACAAGACAAGGAACCTGTGCTAAGTGAACGCCCATGGGAGAGTAGAATTGGCTGCTTGGGACAGATGGCCTTTAAATGCTCAAACAAACCATAAAAACTCCTGGGGATCCTGAAGAAAAGCAATTATACCCCTAAAGTGATTGCTTAAGACAGTCCTGCGAGTTGCAGGTTATGTATTTATTTGTTAATACAAGAGACAACCCAGCTTCATGGGCTTTTCTGTGCTATTAAATAGGGATGCAAGGCTCCCTTGCTGAGACCAACTGCCTGCTTTATAAAGGGGAAATTCCTCCTTGACCTMTGGGCATCAGCAAAGTAACAAGAGCAATAAAATTCCAGGTCTGCATAACACTAAGTTATGGAAACTTTATGTTCTTGCTGTACTGGTTTTCCTCTATGCCTATGATGAGTTTGACTGCGTGACCAGTATGTGAGATGATCATTTTTCTGATAACATCATTTGTTCCTATTGAGGATAACCATTTTACCTACAATTTCTGTTTAGTTACTAGCAAACATTTCTAATGTGACCTCRCATTATCTCCTCATACTGAATTTACCCATTCTTTAGTCATCTCTTGGGCTTGCTCCAAGCTCTGCCTTTTCCCTTGCTCTTGGTGGATGAATATGAGACCAGAATCTGAAACTACCATTTCCTGAAATAAGTAAAGGACATTAATTTAGTGAAAACTCAAAATATCTTAGGAGAACCAAGTATTTTGCTGAGGCCTCAGTTTTCTAAGCTACCAGCTAAAGTTTACCTAAATTGCTATTTTTTTTCTTGCTGTCTGAGGAAAGTATTTTATTTTTACATTTATTTATTGCATATATTGATTTATTGCGTATATAAATATATTGCATGTACTCATTTTGGAAATTGGAGGTGTTTTGCATCTCATTAGAGATGCAAATCCAAAAGAAAATCCATGCTTTTCCATGAGTTATGTCTGCAACATGTTGACAAAGTAAGCTGAGGATAATTAATGCTGAAACTTCAAAAAAACGYTGAGCTATATTCTTTTCCTAAAGTCTTATGTTGATGGAAGAGGTACTTTTATCTCTGCTAGGTATCCAAAATGTAATTTGTTATTGAACAAATATTTTCTTTTTTTTTGTGTGGCTGTCGTCTGAGCTGTCTATTGCCAAGATAGAGCTAAATGGCATACTTAATGATTTAAATGATTGTCTTTGCCAGAGTTTATGTTTGAAGTCTGTGAAGAGAATCGTAAGATCCCTGTTTAACCTCAAGGTCTTAGATCTGATAATGAAATAGTGCTGAGGTGTTGGAGATGTGAATTTTTTCCTACTCTTTCTAGAAAGTTACTGGAAGGGGAGGGTARAAAAAAGGAAAAACAAAATCAAACTACAGTTGTACCAGGAATGAATGTCTCAGTTCACTGATCGATCTTTTTCAAAACRAATTTAAATGAAAAAATATGTTGTTTTAGAATTAMCCGAAATGTTTGCTTTTGACCTCARGTGGCACRTCTAAGTTGGATCTGTGTTTCATTCAGCCTAATGCATTGCATTGCTTTTGGTCTGGATTTTACAGACYCTTTGAAGATGTATAGTTACGTTTCAAGTGAAAATTACCATTTTGAGAAGAGCAGACAGGCTCTTTTGACCTTTACCAAATTCTGCCGTGTTGAGACTTGCTTCCCCTTGGCGTATTTGTTGGCTTGGGTTCGTACAGGAACGAGGTTTAGGTGGGGGAAAGCTGTGGGAAGAGATTCATGCTGCAGAGCTCAGATAGCTCTGAGTCATCCCGCTCTCAAATTGCAGGCTGTCACCAAACTTGAGACTTCTAAAGGTTCGCTCGCTTTCTTGGGTGGAATCTCTTTCAAAACAAGAAAAATCTCCCACTATTCAGCTCATGTTAAATGCACCCTTTTTGCTTCTTGCTCATCGCAGACAATGTGATGGCCCCTGCCAGTGTTTGGGTCTGACTTGTGTATCAGGTGCAGGATAACAGTTAATTGTCTAACACATCCATTTATCAATATTAAGAGAAAGCAAATTATTATGGGCATGGACAATGGACCTTCCCACACTCCACTCTGGAATCTAAAACCGGTTTGGAAATGATGAATTTTGGATGAACTGAGACTCTTTTCCAATGTACTGAGGAATGTTTTGAGGATCTCACGCTTTGCTTTTCTGTGTTAGACAGAGCTATGAGGAACTGGAAAGACAGCTGAAAGAAGTCTTTAAGGAAAGGAGCAATATCCTGCGTCAACTGTCGAGGACTTCTAAAGAGCTTGAGGGAATTAAAGTAAACCTTCAGGTGAGTTTATGTCCTGATTTCTGTGACAGGCTCACATGCCTCGATTTGCTCATATTGGTCTCTATATCCTGTGAGAGGGCAGTAACATGAACAATTATTTATTCTGTTGATCTTGCGCTTAACCTAAACCCGATATTTTTAAAGAAAAAATAAYCCAAATGAGTTGGACCCTTTGTCCATACACTGAAAAACTCAAGGAAACTTGAAAATATAATATGGTAGAAGAAAGAAAGAAGAAGGTGCCTGGGGTGGGACTCCTGTAAAGGATGCATCAGCCACTAGCAAAAGGAGATGTTCCAATGTCACCGTTCAGGAGCTCAGCTGACAGGTTGTGCTAGATGAGCCTGCAGCGAGGCAGGTAGAGCTGAAAGCACCAATTCATGTAATTTCTGAGGTTGTAGGTGTCATGAGTAGGCTGAACTTAATGGCAATGTTAAGATCAGCCCCTCAAAGGGAGGAGCATCCTGCTTCAAATTTGTGCTGCTAAAATCACCAGATGTTCGCTCCAGGACAAACTTTTCCCCTGGTGGAGTCCATTAGCCTAGTGTTAACAATTAAGCTGGCAGTTGTTTGGGATTGCTTAGTCTCTGCTTTTTGTTTCATTTTAAAGGACAATATTTTCCAGGTCTGGCATTTCTTTATCTTTGTGTTCATGAAAGCTATATGGGACAAGGAAAGGGATGCTACTCAGTACGTTGGCTATTCACAAGAGTAGTCTGGTATTGCATAACAGGTTAGCATATCCAGACCTTTTTCTTGCCAATTTATTTGGGTTGTAGCCTACTGACCTTTCTTTTAATTAGTTGCTGTTCTTATTGAGTCTCTTTTTATTACAGGGTTCTTTTCTTCTTACCTTTTAAGAGGCATTTCTCCTTGTAACACAATTATGCTAGAATGGTACAACAAAATACAAGGTTGTGTTTAGCAAACCTAGCCGATCAGAGATGAGGCAAAGCACTGTACTGTTATTTTCTGCATGCACATATTTGTCATGCACCCTGAGTGCTTTTAGCCATTTGCTTGTTTCTAAATCATTGCTTTGGATCAAATCTCTTCTAATATTTGAGACAAAACAGCTGTGTGCAGTTAGCAATGATGAACTACGGTGAAAATCGGGCTATTCTCCTTTTCTTCCTTGCAAATGGTGATGTGTGTAATTCACTGGGAGCCTTTTATGAAAGAGGTCCCAAATTAATCATTTTTACAGGTGAATAATGTTAAAGATCTCTTTTGTAATACATTTCCTACTTTGTTCTCAGTCGTTGAAAGACGATGAAGCATCAGCCAAGAATGATGTGCAGAAACTGCTGGAGCTGGGCCAAAAGCAAAGGTARTGTCCCATCTCCACCCTGTTTGTTCAAGTTCCAGTCTGAAAACTCTGAGRCCATGAAATTCGTTGAGCTTAGCCTGTAAGCCCTGGTGTATTCCAGAGTCTACCTGCCATGATGGAAAAATAAGGGCAAGGATAAGGCTGTTTTGGATCCATTTCCAAACAGATGACGTGAGCAGATAATGGACRGTCAGCACTAGGGAGAGATATTAGAATGCAACAGTGAGATATTTGCCAGTGAGATGGGTTTTGAATCTCAGAACAGCTCAGGCATGAATTTTTATCTATTCAAATGAACAAAATCAGAAGCCTTCAAAAGTTAGTAGTGGGTGATAATCCCCAGGTTATGAATTTACCTGTGGGTGTCCCAATCTCTGGAGTTAAAAATACTACATATGTATCAAATCTTTATATATCTGTGGGGAGTGGGTTGGAGAGATGTATTCCCTTCAATTTTTCATTGAACACTTAATGAAAGAGTGACTTTACACGACTGGAAATGCAAGCGTAGTCCTTAGTCACTAGCTATCGCAACCCAACTATCATTGTTTAACAGAGAATCACTCAGTTCTCTTATTTCTTGGAGTTCAAAATTATAGATCACTGTATCTGTATAATTTTAACCACAAGCCAGCATCACTGACACAGGCATTGCTTTCTCTGAAATAACATGATGTGATGAATACATCTCTATCTCACATCTTTGCCTTAAGTTTTTAATAAATGATTTTTTTCCTAGGGAAAGTGTGTATTTCATCATTAGAAACGTGATATCGTGTTTAATAGAAGCTCTGTAGCACGTATGAGATTGCTATAGAGGAGGCTTGTGATAAAAGGGCCGTCAATTCTTCAATGCGAATTAGATTAGAGCCATAATACAGTAGCCAGGGATGTTTCTCATTTTTACTTCAGCAGAGATGGAGCAGATCCCTAAGGGAATTGAAGATATTCTAGACCAGTCTATTGAATGATGAAGGCAAGACTTCAGCTAATACCAGGATTAAACAAATGCATATGACGTAGCCTTCATGCAAGTGAAGGAACATATTTCATTAGCAAAGCTGACCTTGGCACAGGCTCTGTCCCTCGTACGTGTGACTGTTTTCCTCTTGAGGCTTCTATGGACTGAAGACGTGGGTTGATTAAAAACATTAACAGACTATGGAGCAAACTTTTAAATATGCTTTCTTAGTGGAAGATGCAAAATTTGAGGTCTCTGAGRGGAAATGTCTCCTCCTTAACCACATACTAGCAAGTATTCTGAATCTCCTGCTCACCTCGTCTCACCAGTTCCATCCAAAAATACCTGTTGATTTCTCTTTCTACAGGAGGTAACGGTTGAGCATAATTCAGAAAAGTGTTTTCCAGAGAGAGTCTCATAATCAATGTCATTCTTGGAGCTCATTAGAGCTCCATAAGGCCACGTGCAACGTGGCCAGCAGAGCATCTCAGTCCACCATAGTTAACAGTAGAGAAATTCTGGCTCCATCACTGATGTGCCAAAACCTGGTGAAAACAACATCTTTTGGTTCCTTCTCCAGCCATAGGCTAGAATATTCCACCTAATTTTGTGTTGTCTCTTTCTAGAAGGTCAAGTGAAGGTTTCATTTTATCATCATCTTTATTCTTTAAATGGTGTAAACTATTTCTCATTGGTAATAGCACAGTCTCTTCTCTCTTCACTTTTCTTGTGCCAATCCTTTTAGGCAGAAATTTATGCCCTGGCAGATGTTTTGCGCAGCAGGATGCTCACTCGATGTAGAAGGTAGCCAATTGCCATTGCAGATAATTTTTGTTTTGTGCTAGTACTGGAGTTCGTGGGGTCATTATGAGTTTATTAGCAAGACAAATAGACAGAGCCGGTCCGTGTGTCACGCTGAATAATTAAAAGTGCATTTTGTTGAAGCGAACGGATTATTTCTTAATGGACACTTGTAATGAAGTTTCTCTTCTGTGTTTTCAACAAACTAGGGAAGAAATGAAAACTCTCCAGGAGGCCTTTCAAAAGCAGCTTAATGAGGCAGCTGAGAAAGCAGAAAAGCAGCAGGCTACTGTGAGTTATTCCTTGTCCCTCCTTCATTATTTTTGCTTATTTCTTCTGTCTTTTTTTTTTTATTATTATTATTATTCTCCTGCTTGGGGATTTTCCATTATCTCAAATATCTTTGTGTGGAGGGGAGGGGTGGGAGGATGGAGCTTTGATTTGATATATGCGTTAGTTCTCTTCAAGCTTTGTAAGAAAGGAGTTGAAGCAAGTTTCAATACTTGTCTTCCATAGTTTCTATGAGATTTAGCTGTTGGCACTCTTGGAGATTAGAGTCTTGTCCATATCACCTTTTTTGTTTGTTTGTTTTTTGTTTTTTTTTTTTTTTTAAATCACTGATTATTTCCAGCAAGAAAAGAAACAGGTATCTGAGTCCAGTTTGACTACGCTAAATCTGACTATAGGAAGGTATTGAGTTGCATTAAACTTTCATGCTTTAAAGAAATTCTGTTTGTGGGTAAATTACACAGCTASTTGAATATTTTTGTACTCAGTGTATTCAAAACAATGTGTGGCATAAATAGTGGCCAAGACACGAGTTAATGTCTTAAACTCAATTATTAGTTTAGGAAATAAAGATATTCCCACTGAAGTTTATGGACCAACTTTAGAGTGCTGGGTAAGAACAGAGGTCTCATGTTCAGCTGAGCAGTTGAACTATGCGGTTGTCCTGTTAAATCTAAACTTAATGTCAGATTTTTAAAGTGTCAAACCTTGGATTCTTAGTATTTGAGTCACCTACATCAGGCAGATGGCTAGAAGGTATCACTAGCATCTTTGGGTGTACATGCAAGCGTAGTCCAATAAAGAGGAGGAGATGGAGAGGTTTGGGGAACACACAAGTTAAGTGTCAGGGATGCAGTGAGGACTTCCTTGGATTTGGGAGCAGGCAAAGCTCTTTTGGGTCTCTCAGTTTCAGCTTGAATATTGTAATAAGGAACATTAAGCATGGCTTTGTACTGCTGGATTATTGTTTATATGGGTCATGCGCTTTTACTATTCACCTCCCATTTAGAAGCAAAGTAGCTTTCAAACTGAAGAACTGAAAGAAAACTGAGGGAAAAGGAAATAAAAACAACTTTCGAAAGCACCTTTTTGTTGCTTGGAAGTCTGAAGAATAAAGATACCATTTTACCTATTCTTTTTCTTCCACAACATATGCTTGCTGAGCTGTTAGTACTTACTTTTTTTATTTCTCTAGAGAAATAGATAGTAAACTAAAATGATTTATTTAACTGTAAGTTTAACATTTTTTTTTTAGATTTTCTGGATATTCAGGCCATTATCTATCCTGGAAAAAAATATCTTTTTTAAAGATGGTGTTGCAGTGAGCAAATAATATTGTCCTGGAAAAAAAAATAAGAGCCTCGCCTTCCTTGCTAAATAGTAGAAACATGCTGACCCAAAGGTGTCTCAATTTTTTKGGGGGGATGCATTGATAAATTCACGTTAGCTTTGACAGCACAGCAAGAAGCAGTCCTGCAAACTAAAGGTGAGAAATTTGTTTGTTTAATCTCTCTGTTATCTTCTTGAGAACTTCTCAGCTGTGGGCTGACAGCACCTGAGATCCAGAGTATTGTGTAATTCTGCATTTTCTGGATGAGCAATTGGCTCTGTTGTATTGGATACAACGCTCTGTATTTCTAGTTTCTACAGCAGCACTTTCTATGTGATCTCAACTTGGCCAATGCCAAAATATAAAATTTGCTCCTCAAAAATTGAGCAAAATCTACTTTTAACTATCATGCAWAAATATGCAGCGCAAATAACAAGAAAAAAAAATCTCCATTTGAGCAGGGGAAAGAATTTGAYTGGAAATGTCACCTGGTTGGAGAAAAAACCCTGAACTCTTCAGCTCTATTTTAAAATTCACCAATAATAGAGTAATAAATTTGCCACTGATTTTAAGGAAAGCTGAACTGAGTCCTTGGTTTGTGACGGTTTTATTTTTTTCATTGCCTCAGGGTAAAATGTACATAATAAAACTTAGCAGTACAGGGAGACTGAATGAATATTCAAGAAATGCTTCAGGAGCCTTGGATGAAAGCTACGATAGAAATGGAAATAAATATTGCTGTCACACAGTATTATTTTACACCTGTTTCCTCCATGTGTTTTGCATATTTTTGAAAGCAAAATGAATATTATCGAAGAGGGTCTGGGTAGTTTGGTACAAGCCTTGTTCGAGACGGGAAGCTTGAATTTTATTCTGATTTAATGAACTGTAAGTCTTGTTTCTAGTCAAACTTATGCCCATTTTATTCTACAGGACCTGATGAAGTAAATCTTGATTTATATCAGTGTAAATAAGAATAGGGTTACGTTTTTCAAGGCCCTATGCATAAGAAAAAATGGAGTAAAAATAAAAGTATGTTTCTTCTGCTCTTTCTAAGGAGGCATAATACAATGCTTACTGTATGTTAATTGGTAAATTCATGCTGTGTATGAATGGGCAACAGAGCATAAATCTAATTCCTGTTGTCCTCTTGAACCATCAGTAAAAACTGATGGAGCTTTTTGGGTCAGATTTTTTATCTATATTTAGTACCAGMAGAAATACACAAGTAAATTATAACGGGCTGTTAGGCAACAAATGACTATTAACAAACAGTCAAGCTACCGTTTCATCATATATGTCTCTATTGAAATGGGATGTGGAAAAGTTTCCTCCAGAAACGGGATTAGGCAGTTTATTAACAATGAGGCAGATATATTGGCAAATATGGTTATTTTTTAGCAACTCACCTTGAGCTCAGTAGAGTTGCTTCTCACTGGCTTCATTCGCCCTGTATAAAAAGAACTGGGCTATTCTGGATGAGTGAAATAGAAATACTTAAAAACAGTCAAGCTATGACAAAGTTTGGCCTGCGTTTTACCTTTTGTCTGTTACTATTTTTGGTCATTCTAACAATTTCTGGAACTACTGTGCCAAAAAACACAAAATATGTGAAGGTAGGAATGAAAAGGAGAGATGCTTTGAAGACTCTGGTTGTAGACCAAAACACTGATGTGATCTCATCTCTTGGAAGTCAAAGGACAAGCAAGACTTGAGGCCAGTTTTAGGAAATGAAGGGAATGAGTAGAACATGAAGTCTGAAGAACTGGGGGAAAAAATAGACAACTGCTTCTGTATCAGCTGTGGTCTGTTCTTATCTGAGATAAGGGAGGAACTCCAGGACACAAGCCTGGTTCTGACCATCTTTGGATATTTCTACGTACTTTTAAGGAATCTAGGATGAGGGGGAAATTTTTCCTTGAAATTTCAAGAAGAGTATGGTCACTTTGAAAACAGTAGGGCTTTTTTATTCTTCTAATTAGCTATAAAATATGCATGATAAAATATATGGAATTTAATTTAGGGAGATCCATCATCAAAGAGGAATCAAGAGCCACCACAAATACATGCCTGCAATATTTTTTTTTTTTTGCTAGAAAGATGCTCATTTTATTACAATATATACTTTTGTCTACCAACATATTTCATGGCAAGTATGAACTGCCTCTATCTTAAAAATCTGAAATCTACTTCTCTATTAATATGCAGTATAATTTTGTGTGTGGTAATTTGAACACAAGACCACAAAAATTACTGTTGCATTTGTTAGGGTTGCCAGATACTCCCATATCCTGTAATAGTTAACCATGGTGGTGAACACCAAGCATTTCTGTCCCATCTTAACTGCTCATATCTTAGTTACAAGTAGGATATAAGAAGATGGGAGCCAGCAAATAAGCATGCAGCTGAGCTTTGGCTTTTATATCTGTATTCTTCCACCCTTCATCTGTAGTCAATAACTAACTATGGGCTGACTTTTAGAATTGGACCATTGCCATCTGCTGGAGTGTCTTGTATTTCAACGGGGGAAAAATTTAATTTGTACGTTTCAAGGTCACAAACTGCTGAGAGTGAAGGCCACTGGGTGGGAGATGTTGCTTTTAATAAATGTAATGAGCTCTGAAACACACACAGTTCTGAATATTTTGAGTGTCTATCTCCTGGAGACAGAGGCAATGTCCTTGCTTGATGTCAAAGTTCATTCTTGGAACACCAACATGTTTTCATTATGGACTTTTATAATTACATCTAGATATTTAATTAAAGGCAGGCAACATTTGGAAACATCTGAATGTCAAACAAGAGCAAAGAGTTAGTGAGAAAGTGGAAAAGATGTAGAAAATAAAAGTTTCAGTTTCTATGCCTTTACTATAGAGCTGAACTTAAATATCTATTCTGATATGTTAAGTTGCCAGGATTTGGAGACTGAAAAGAGATTTCTTACTCCTTATGCTCCTTAGAGGTGGTTCATGCCTTGCTGTTGTTTGCTGCAGAATAGGGAATATGGGGGCTTGGGCTTCTGAAGCAGCATTGTGGTCCATCATGACAGCTTTTCTTGGGGATTGACTGAAAGCAGTGGGCAATTGGTCTGATACAGAATCATCTGTCTGAGAGAGAAAATTATGGAGACAAAGATGCATTTAAGTGGACAGACAAGTTGCCTCTGCAATACCTGCTGTAGCCAAGTTATATAAATCCCTCCTATGTAGCCTTCTATAGCTCAACTTTATGACTAAGTGGCTCTTCAGGTGCTAGAGATTAAGTAGAATGACTTTAAATTATTGCTATAAAAGCCAAAAAAAAAAAAAAAAAAAAAAAACCTTGACTTTTTACTTAATACTAGTCTATTAAAAAAAAAAAAAAAACTTTGTTTTGTGTTTTTCATTGTTCAGAGAAGCTAAAATGGTAAGTTTGCACTAGGTAAAATGTGCATAGCAGTGATAGATGCCAGGTGTACATGAGTAGTAATTAACATAAATTGCTGGTTTAACCACCATAAATTAGCAGTTAAATGAATAGTGCTGTGGTTTGTCATAAATATCAGTCCTGAGAMGATCCAGGCTAATACAGGCTCTGCGTAGAGAGCTCCCAAAGAGCAATTTCTGTATTGTATCTGTTAAATTATTTCATATATATTCAGATTTAGAAGTGATATGTTTCAAAAGAATAAAATAGTCCTGAAATGACTGAGAAAGGAATGGTCTTTAACAGAGGTCAGTGTATTACTTTTTGTCAGTATTTAATACTAGCTGGCAAATCTTTTGAACACATAAAACACCTGAATATCTGAATTGTGATTTTTCTTATTTTTCATCTAGTCTTGATTTTTATACTTGGCAACTTTTATTTATTGTTGTGCAAAAGGTTGGTATTTATTATGCAATATACATGGAYTAAACTTCAGGGTGTGTGGATGGGATGGCTGGTTTATGGTTAGGGCCAGGTGTAGATAACTTTGGCATTCCTTTTGAAAGCTATGATAGGAGAAAAAAAAAAGGAGAAATTGATGCTTAAAGTGATATCAGTATATTTTAAAAGCTTATCCTCGACTGTTCTTTAAATTTCCAGATTAACTTTTTGAAGACTGAAATGGAAAGGAAGAGCAAAATGATCCGTGATCTCCAAAATGAGGTAAGAGGAATACTTGATTGTCAGCAGTGTGTTAGAAGTCAACCTCAGAGAAAGTTTAATTTCGGAGCAATATTGAATAGAATTTTTTTTCCTTCGATATTTAACTGTAAAGCACTGAAGTGTGTCAGGTGCCTTTTTTCTGCGGCCTTGTATTAGAACTGTGAAATGAATGAAAGTTTCAAGATATTCTCTGGTCTGCCTCTTTACTCTGTCAAGCAATGAGTGTTATTCTGGCGCACACATTCATTTTCATTATGGCATCRTGATATTTTAGAATGTGGAGCTAAATCATTCCGTGCAAACATACTAAATAGGCTATTAAAATAAATTAGAATGATTTAAATCTAATTTTCTACTGTAGTCTTTTAATTCATAACGTATCTATGTCTACTGCTGTACTGTGGATGAAAAATAGTCCACGATTAATTATCTGATTCCTGCACACCAAAATGAAAGGATATTTTTGTCTTGGGGTATTCAGCCAGCAAAAGCATGGTGTGAGCACTTTACTTAGTTACTCAGCTATGGGATAGCAGTTTAATTTTATCCTATTGATATGAATTCTGGGGCACTGCAAGAACATAAAAATAAACCACTTAGAGACTGAAGGCAAGAAGAGAAAACAGAAAGGAAAATTAATTATCCTGACACTGCTCTCATTTTTCTCTTTGTTGTTAATACCTTCTACTTCAATTTTTCATAAATTAAATGATGAAGTGTGAAGGAATCAAGCATAATACATATTTACTGGCACCTTTGGTGCATGCTTTTCCTGCCGTTGCTTTATTTGGCTCCCTACTGTACAGCTAGGTTATTTTTTCAGGAAAACCAGAGCTAAGTAGAAATTTTGCTGTTGGGATGTGTGATGCATCTCCATAACTTGTGTGGTTGCTGCAAGGAGCACTTGGTCCAGGCCTGTAGGTCAATACTCTGTGGAGGAACTGCACTTAGGATGTCATTACCTGCTTCCAAGGTAAATGGAAAGAGGGTGAGAARACATATCTCAGAACTGAGATTCTTCATGGAGTCAAGTTCTAAGACAACTCTATTCTAAAATGTTTCTGCAAGCTTTGTTTCATGGATATGAGTCTCAWATGGGTACATTTCTATTGGTTGCAAAATTTTATGTTAAACTTTGTGTTATATTTTGAACATAAGAATTTTTTCAAAAAAAAAAAAATGGATTTTTTTGAAAAGAATGGCCTGATTTGTGTTGCTCATCTCTTCTTAGGAAGAGAGGAAAAAAAAAAATTTTAACAAGCAGCAAGCAGTCAAGAAGAAAAAAGGGCAATGTTCTTCTCTAGGGAGGTAGTGAGTTAATGTGTGGATGCTCTAAATGGCATTACAGAACCTTCCAGTGCTTTGTACCAATGCTTTTATGTGATGTGGGAATAAAAGGATTAAATCTTGCGGAAGGAATGAAGTGGGAAAGACGTGACTAAGGAAAAGAGACTTGATGTGAAATAGAGAGAGAAGAGGTGTTGCAAAATTGCAGTGAAGAATTCACTGTGCTAGGCTTTCAAAACTGCATGAGAGGTGATAAATCATCCTTTTTTCTTTTTTTTTCCTCCCCGCCTCCCAAAAAATATCAAGCACTTGGCAAAGCCTTGTGTTTAAGAGCAATGGTTCTGTAGCTAGGAAAGATAAACTTTTATCACAAGTACTGAAGCTGCTCCATTAAGGTAACGCATTTGTCATTCTTCTATTGTATGCACACATAGGTATAAGTGARTAGAGGACAAGTCTGCATGAGTGATTTTGTTTTTAATTAAACCAAATCTTTGAAATATTTCCTTTTTATTTTACGCTATCATCTTACAATAAATTCTCATAGGTGTGAGAAATTGTGGACACTGCATGTTCTGCATGTGCTTTGGGAAGAGGAAGTAGAGAAAAGTGCCTGAGATGGAAAAAGCRACCCGCTCCTGGCACACCTTGAGCAAAACTTGTTTTGGGAGAATTGCTTAGTTGGGAGCTGAGAAAATTGGCAAAAAATGCAGGCTAAAGAAAATATGCTTAAAATATGCTTAAAATGCTTGGCTTGATTAGGTAGAGGTGAACTACTGCAGAAYGAACAGCTCACTTGTACCCCATCGCGGTTGCCTGCTCGTCATGGCAAGAGATGTCACAGTGGCTCTGAAAGCAGAGCTAAAGCAGACTTTGGCTCTGTTTAAGAGTTAACTCTGAAGCTGTTAACTCTGGTTTGGGTTTGTTTGTTTGTTCATTTGTTTCCCCAAGTGACCAAAAAATCTTCTATCCTGACACTTACTATTTGGCATTCAGAACTGAATGTTTTGGGTGCAACTCTAAACAGACATACATAATGAATTAATTTCCTAAATTAATTTCTTAATGATTAGATGTCAGTCATATGTTTTGTTTGGAAACATGTTTGGAAGCATGAAGTAAGTCATATTTGTTTGTTTTTTTCATTATTTTTCTCTTGATAATGATGTAAAGGTCATCTAAAGGGTAGTGTTGTAGGTCACACACATGCACCATTTTCTGGAGGTCAATGAGTTGGGAATTTTCCCCACAACTTCATAAATGGTGCCTTTTTCTATAGGCTTAAAYGAAAGGAAATGAAATGCACTTAGTCTTTTGCTGGGGGCATTGCAGCTTCGTTGTGTGGGATGCTGGTTTGGGTTATGTCAAAAAAAAAAAAAAGTTGGACTCAGGTAAAGCTTTCAGATATCAAAAAACATGCTCTCATTTWAAACATCAAAACATCTCATATATTAGAAAGGAAAGGATTAAACTGCTCATGTTATCTTTGGATGATGTGCTTCAAACTACCTCGGCAAATACCTATGTTAAGGTGTGCTCAGTCTTTACAGATTCTATTTACAACAATCTTACATATTTATAAAGTTGATACAGTGGTTTATAGCCAGCTATACATTTTGCTTGCTGTTTAGGCTTGGCAGAACTTGGAAAATTGTGAATTATCTTAAAGAGCTATAGTAGCGCAGGCAATATAAAATAAACCAAGGGTAGAAAATGAATTTGCTTGTAGCTCCCAGTAATATTTGTTCTTCTAAGAAGCATGTTTTTAAATMACTACCTTGTAAACAATACTTTGGCTCAATTCATGTATAAATTGCGGTTACAGCTTTAGTGTGGAGTAAATCATCCTCAAACAGAATTTTATCCAATGTTCCTGTGCTTAGCCACACTAATAAAAGGTAAAGTCGAGGTAGTTTAGAATCCCACCTGATCCATAGGGAATCTCATGCCCTGCAGAGTGAATTGAATTGAACCGCTTTGAGTTATGGTGAAAGAAACCTCCCTGAGTGAAGCCAAAATGAAATTTTAAGGCTTTGAAACTGTATGTTGCCACTGCCCTATCTAGGAGGACRTTGCAGTTCCCTCGTGCTCTGCTTCTAAAATTAAACCCTGTCCTGTGATTGTTCTAAGTATAGAACCTGTCCCGTGCAGAAAAAAATCCTATTCTACTAACCACCTTTGAGTTCAGTGTCATTTCTTGAAGTCACTTCAAGTGAGATAGAGCCTTCTTTTCCAGAAATTTGGTTCTTTGAAATTGTTCAGGGTGATTTGTATTGAAAATGATATGGAAAAGGTGAAAGCGTGGTTGAATCAGTGGAAAATGGCTTTTAATTAGCATTGAGATTCCCACGGCAAGCACCCTAATGCATCCAGGTTGTCAGTGTGTATGTTACTCGGTCTCTGGTAGAAGGCTTAACTACTCTAACAATTACAACGAGCTTTAAGTTTTGGAAGTCCTAGTGTTTTCTCATTCTAGAAAATCATGGCAATGCTCTTTGGACTTGTCGCTGAAGTTGTCCTCATTTCTTTACTCCGTTTTCCCAGGCTCCTGAGGACTCTGTATTAAGTTTTTATTCCCAACATCCACCTTTGCTAGCTCCAAAGGATCTGGATTCTTTACATTTGTCTTTCTTGCTGGCTGCTGGGTTTTTATGCTAGTTAATGTGATAATATCTAAAGTAAACTGCTATGAAATTTCTTCTCTACAAATTTTCAAGACTGTAGAGGGCACAGGGAGATGCTGGAGTTGTCTGATGCTCTRTTTCCTCTTGATTTTATTGGGAGTGTGATCAGCTTATTTGAAGCTAAAGGATGCAAATGATAAGTCCTAGCGGTCCCGTCACTTCATTTTAATTCAGGGCGGCAGCAAAACACGAAGCAAATGAGATAATCTTGACTAATTAATTTTAAAAGAGCTCTCCTGCCTCCTTGGCGCTTGCAGCTTCCAAKGACGTCTGCTGCAGCTTCGCTAGGCCACGGGGCAGCGTGAAACCTAATTAAAATCGTTGCTCTTTGAGCTCATCCAGAGGATTTTGCGCGCCTTAGCGTTATCCAAATCCGTGTTCGCCAGCATTACAGGTCTCCAGGGTGAGGTGGCTTAAAGCCAAGCCATGGAAAGCTCTAAGGATGGGTGAAATTTTATCACCCGTGTAGGCCTTTTCCTTGAAGCAAATCTTATTTTGCCAAACAGGAGGCACCTAATAGCATAAGAAATTATAAAAGGTTCATGTCACATAAAAATACACTTGGTCTACGGGTTTGAAATGCTGCTTGGTGAAGTTAGGTTGCTGCTGGACTGCTCCTGCCCTGGGCTGAGGTCTTCAGCCCCTGGAGGAGCAGGCAAGAGGGAGATGCTCAGCTGGCTTTCTACTAAAGTCGGTGAGAAATTAAGGGAATTTCTAAACCCAGAGAACCCCAACTTGATCATATGATGGTGCATCATACCAAATCATTACACTTATGAAGGTTTCAAGAAAGAAGACTGAGAGTGTCTCTTGTCACATTTAATATGAGTAAGTTTATTTCCAGAATTTTTACTATTGAGAGCTTCACACTGAATGGGTCTGCAGTTACTTCATGGCCTTTTTAATTCTAGGAGAAATTAAGTGTAGCTGCAAAATGTTAACTTTATGTGATGAAATATTTCTAGTTTTACAGCTGCAGGTTGATAGCCTGTGACTTTATAGAAATTTTAGTCCTCTCCTGAGACTCTT